GAGTCAAATGTGAAACATGGGCTGCCCATCTGAACCTTTCACAATATTCTAATTTTCTGAGATTGTTAATTTGGGGTTTTCATCAGATGTACGCCATAATATAATAATTATAACTAATAAAGTCTTGACATATCTCTCTTTGCATGTCATGCGTGTATCTCATTTATTAGTTTCACCTTTTAAGTTGAATTACTGAAATAAATGAACTTTTCCATGATATTCTAATTTTCCGAGTTTCACCTGTACTGTATGTCCACCTTAGTTCTGGTTCTTCACTCCCAACTGGATCTCTTTCATATAAACTATTGAGGCCCCTTCTTTCTGGGGGATCTCTAAGGTGAGGTACTCCATTTTTATTCTTGGTTGGGAACCCCAGACAAGGAAAGACATTCTGTTTGCCTACCCTGAAGAGGTTGTATAGTGATATTTCTAGCTGTAGACTGTCATATCTGGAGAAGGTTGGGAGATTTGCTAGCTTAGCCATTTCTGGACTCCTGCCTTTTAATATTCGTTTTAAAGACTCAAAGGAGGGGTACAACTTCCCTTATGGCGATTCCTAATTATTTAAAACTAGCTGCTCAGAAATTCTAAGAAACAACAGCAATAATATCATGACAGTCAGCACAGTTCTGAAATGCTCAGTCTCTCACCGTGGTTCAGAATGACATGCAGTTGTATTCAGACATCAATAAAAAACTTTCCCCATGGTCTCGGGAACCATCATGCAAAATTCAGTTATAATAGCTTTTTAAAAATTCTAAATGCCTAGTAAACAGACAGCTTTCCAAAATATATAGTAGATGCTACCATGACAATAAAAGGTAATGGGACCCCTGGCCATTAGGTCCAGTCGCAGACAACTCTGGGGTTGCTACATTCATCTCGCTTTATTGGCCGAGGGAGCTGGTGTACAGCTTCCGGGTTATGTGGCCAGCATGACTAAGCCGCTTCTGGCGAACCAGAGCAGCGCACAGAAATGCCATTTACCTTCCCGCCAGAGCGGTACCTATTTATCTACAGTGGTACCTCTGGTTGTGAACAGAATCCGTTCCGGAGCCCTGTTCGCAACCTGAAAGGAACACAATCCGCGTCTGCGCATGCGCGGGTCGCGATTCCCCACTTCTGCACATGCGTGTGATGTCATTTTGCGTGTTTGTGCATGCACGTTTATGCATGCGCAAGCGGCGAAGCCCAGAAGTAACCCTTTCCAGTACTTCCGGGTCACTGTGGGACGCAACCTGAAAAGACATAACCTGAACCGAATGTAACAAGAGGTATGACTGTTTTTGCACTTTGTGCTTTCGAATTGCTAGGTTGGCAGGAGCAGGGACCGAGCAATGGGAGCTCACCCCATCGCGGGGATTTGAACCACCGACCTTCTGATCGGCAAGCCCTAGGCTCTGTGGTTTAACCCACAGCACCACCGGCATCCCTTGACATTACATTCTTCTTATATATTCATAGGATCACAGAATTGTAGAGTTGGAATCTCTACTAAAGCATTCCTGGCAGATGGCCACCCAAGCTCTGCTAAAAACCCACCTATGAAGAAGAGTCCCCTACTTTTCAAGGGAGTCATTTCCACTGTTGCAAACAGCTCATTTTGTTTGCAATAAATAGTGTAAACGCATTCATTGGCATCATAACCATTAGATTTTGTGTATACATAGCTTGAAAAGATAGCATAAAATATGCAAAGGTCAGCAGATTGGAGAGAGCTATTGTTCCTCACTCTGAAAGGAGAGGGATAAACAGACATGAAACTGTCTATGCAAAGAAGAAAGGGGAGGCAAGAGACTTGAGTTTGTCACCTCTTGGTGCTATTACTAATCTGCCAGCTTTGCACTGCTTCATGTTGTGGATTCTTCTCCCTATTGTGCTGGCAACTGTCCTTGACAGTGTGGAAAGAGTTCTGAGTGACCTGGTAGCTGTACGGCGGCTCCCTCGGCCAGTAAAGTGAGATGAGCGCCGCAACCCCAGAGTTGGCCTCAACTGGACCTAATGGTCAGGGGTTCCTTTACCTTTACCCTCTGTGAAGACTTCAGGGAACATAATAATGAATAATTTTGTTGTGTACATGAGCCAGCTTGGTGCCCCTGTTAAGAAGAAACAGATTTCAAATGCCCCTGGTCTTCTTTAGGACCCTAAGAGATGGGAAATATTTTAAGCCCTCTATATATCCATCCATTCATTCTTGATCCTAAAAAAAATAGCTTTTAAGTCCTCACTGTGCATCAA